TGTGTTGTAAAAGCTAATTAATAATCAATGCCATAAAACTTTAAACAAGTGTCTTGATAAGACCAGAACAGCTGAGTCAGAAAAAGAATGCAAGGGAGAGTGGGAGAAGCCTTGCCTTATGCAAGTCATCCTGCCTTATCGGATTTGAAACAAATTATCCTGCCTTATCGGATCTGCCTGCTTCTCAGGAGCGAAGGCATTCCCCACACCCCATCACTGCTGGGCACAAAGCCACGATGCAGCCTCAGCACAACCCACATCCTCTGCCAGGACCATTGCTCCCCAGTGCTCAGTGATCCCACACGTGGAGCAGCACGAGGAGCTCAGATGCCTGCCCTGACACCTGTAACCGAGCTCCTCCTCCACCCCGTGCTATCGAACCTCCTCCTCCATCACCATCCACATCCCAACCTACCGGGGCTGGAGAGTTGATCACAGACACGTTGTAGCCATACTGGAAGGATGATCCAAAGGCAGAGATCAGCGTTACCAGCGCAAGTGGAATTGTCAGTCTCTGCAGAGGGAAAACACAGGCAACTCAGAATCAGCTTTGGCTTTCAAGCATAAATGGCATTGTGTAAAAACACAGAAATACCTTTTGCCTCACCAGTCGTATTTTTGGCTTTGTGTTATCCTACAAAGAAAGCCCGACTGGTTGCTTTCAACCTAACTCTCTTTGTTCTGCTTGATTTGCACACAGTCATTACAGTAATTCATTCTACTCTTTCCCGGTATTGATGGATCATTTGGATGATGAACAATTTTCAAGTTATTACACTTAGAATACCACCCTGCAGTGAGAAAGGAATTGCATGCAATTATTCTTTTTCCAACGTGCAAGTTATTGGTGCAATAAAGCAGGATGCTGCTGGAGGAGAGCTTTAAGCAGCCAAGGTTCAAGGTGAAGCAGCAAGCCCCTTTCCTGCCCACTGTCCTCACCACTGTTATATCAACACACCACAGAGGCTTTCTGCAAACATTCAGCCACTGTTCCAGCCTCAGCCCTGCTTTGTTGACTGAGCTGCCTTTTTTTTTTTTACTATAGCTCACCAACACATCTCACAACCACTGCTGCAATAAAACCACTTTCATTAACACTTTTCATCCGTACCGTTTTCTATCCTTTCCCCATCCTTAACGCCTGCAAATTTTGCACATCCCAGCACACAGCACGGGTCCCACATGGAGGAGCTGACATGGCCCTCACTGAACATTTGCCCTACAGTTCTGGTGCTCATCGCCCTCCAGCTCCTCAGCAGCTCTCCTGCAGAGCTCTGCACTCTCAGGGGCTGCAGGAGGTGGAAAAGCCAATCGATCTGCAGCAGGAGAAAGCAGAGCCTTCCAGCACCACTTTCTACCAGCAGACTGTTGATACACTTGCAGTGGTGATGAAAAGCAGGCTGCTTTGCTGGCGTTAAGCAAATCCCCAGAGCACAGAAGAGCTGCTGGTGTTAATTATATAAACACACCACTTTTAGGAAAACCTTGGGCACATAGGAGCAACGCGTTGTGTAAGAACCCACAAACGCTGCTTTGCAAGGCAGCCCTCATCCAGAAACTTCTGCAGCCTAAAAAGGATTAGGAAGCAGGATAGAAAACACGCAGACAGAAGGGGAATTTCACAGAGCTGCACGGTAGGTCAGATGCACAGAGCAAATTGGGAGACTCACTGCAAGGCTGTGCTGCAGACAAACCGGGTTCAAAAACATACAAATCTCTGCTCTCCCTCTCAGTGGATGCCCAACAAGGAGATCTTGGTCCCCTTCCACTACAAACCTTCACAGCCCAAAGCTCACTCAGCATCCATGGGAGGCAGAGCTGAGAACAGCCTGGCATGCTTACCCCCTTCCTGCCTTCCTCCACGCTGGAGCTCTCCTGCTTTTCTCCGTTCATCTCCATTTTGGTGTTTGAATTGCAGATGCTGAGTCCAGACTTTTATAGCCAAAACAGACGACACAGGGGGATGGAAACACCCTCCTTGGAAAGGAAACCCGCCCCGTGACGTTGAAGGAAGTGCCCAATGGATGGCCAGCTCTATCTGCCAAAGTCAGTAGATGGTTGTTGGGTCATTTCCCAATCCTGTGCGTCTTCTTCTGCATGTCTCCTCTCCCTTTTTCTTGCTGAATGTCACCAATGTCAGATGTTCTTGGGCCAGATCCAGACTCAAAGCAGAGCCAGCTGTAGGGGAAGCAGCCTCGTGTGCTCCAGGAGGAGGGTGGACTTCTGGCCAAGGCTCCCAGAGATGCCGTTCCCCCAGCGCTAGCATGCACAGCAGTCAAATTGACGGCAACAGAACTGCTGTTCACTGCAGCCACTGCCTGGCAACCACTGTGTTTTCCAGCAAAAACAGGACATTCCACGGAACCTCAGAGAAGGCTTTTGCCATAGGTCAGCGATAACCCTGAGCTGCACTAACCCTGCACACCTCTGCCCCCCGGCAGAAATACCACACCTGGTCCCACCCTGCAGAGCAGCTTGCTTTTGGTACAGCTGCAGACTGCAGGTTCCACCTTCTTGGGTTCGTTCTTGTCAACACACAGAACGTGCTGCTTTTTACATCAAAGCATAACAGTTGCTTTCCTGCTCTGTGCAAGGTGCACCGTGCTGCCGGCACAGCATTAGCCTCCTACACGAGGAGACTACCTACAGCACTCCGGGACTTAGTTAACCATTAATTACAACTCTTAGAGTTTATCAGCACAATACAAAGTTCACAGATACCCTTGGCAGCCACAGTAACTGAAACCAAACCACATTATCGGCCCTGCTGTCTTTAACACCCAGTTAAAGAAACGTCAGTCTCGAGCCAGACACGCTTCATGCGTCCTGCATGCATTCCTCAGCTGGCTGCAGCCTCCCCACCTGATGGAGGCATAAGGTACACAATCTACTCAGCGTATTTCTTTTGTCCTTGATCATCTTTTTGCAGCCATTAGTAATATTTCTGGATAGATATTATTTTAAAGGGCAAAGAACGCGCAGTAGGAATAGTGAGGGCTCAGCAGGAGCGAAGCCAGGCATTGCTTCCTATAGGTGTAGTTGCTAAAGCTGCTTATGTAAACGTTCAGTTGGCAGTAGGAAGCGATATATGTGGCCTTGTGTTTGCAGGGTGGACTAACTGGCTGTCAGCTCGTACTGTAAGCAAAGCTTAGAAACTGGCAAGGCTCTAAAAATCGAAAGGGGAACAGAGCCCTTCTGCTTCAGGGCAGGGAACACAGTTCCAAGACTTCTGCTATTCATCCCTTCCTCGAACTGTCGTAATACAACGACCTCCACAACACTGTTTGGTCAGATTTTGTGACAAGTTCATAGGATCATAGAATAACCCAGGTTGGAAGGAACTCACAAAAGCCAAACAATCTTCTTCTGGACACTGTCCACAGTGGCTCACATTAAGAAAACTCCTGAATCCTTCAGAAACCTGCTCCCACATATCTATCCCTTGGGGTTTTAGCTGCACAGAGATGCAAACAGGACATCCATTGCACCAACAACTCTCACCCAGCTTCAGTATTCCTACTGGGGGTCTGCAGCCAGCAGGTATAACAGCAATACTGAAGGAGCTCTTACCATCCTGCCTTCCAAAATTGTTCAAAGAGCCCCAAAGTAAATGGGACAGCTTACAGCAGCTATTGTAGTTCTCACTTTCATAGATCTTTAGTTAGAAGAAGGCAATGACAGGTGAGTTATTCTGCCTCAAGGGTGGGGAATTCGCAAGGAGGACAAACCTCTCACAAAAAATCCCTTCCCTTTGAAGAGTGCCATTCTTCCAGGAGCTCTGGGCTGCTGACAGCTACTCCAATATTTGGTAATTGTGAAACAAGACTTTTCCGTCATGGTTTTTAAACTCTTTCCCTGAGCTTAAAGAAATAACCTTGACATAGATAGAAATAAAAAAGAAGATGCATTTGCCACCAGAAGTCCTTCATCAGAGCATAAATATTCGCTTATGACAGCAGAATGCTTTGAGTATTTGCCAATCACAGCGAGATCCAGGCAGCATCATCCCTAAGGTGCCCATCAGCATCAAGCCTGGGAGATGTCAATGAAGGGAGACAGGATGGAGAGCAAATCTCCTTGAACTTTCACAGTAATTGCAGGGCAATAACTGTTGCCTCCAACTGCTCAGATCCTGTTGGACTGGAGCAAAGAGCAGAGCCAGCACCAAGAGAGCCAACTTCATAGGAATTTTACTATCACGTTTCTCTCAGCAGATCATCTGCCAGGCAGTGGCTGCCAGAACACAGTGTGTTTGCCTGAAGGCATTAACCTAGCACTGCTATTTTCTCTCCTCTGCACTTGTTCACTGCATCCTCAGAGCTCCCACGCCAGCATGCAGGAACTGTTCACACCCAGCTCACAGCCAGACCCTACAACATCCTGCTCTCTCTGCCAAAAAAGGGGCAAATATAATTAAAAGATGAGGCTTACCTTCCGGGACAGTTGATCTGCTGACAACACATGCAGTTAAGAACAGCATCAGCAAGCTGTGGAAAAGCTGCCATTAAGCTGGGAGCTGCAGTGCCTGGGGTAAGGAGTCTCATTAGGAGGCACTCCAACAGCACAGCTTGTCCATGAGTGACATGGGCAGCTCTTTCACTCACAGTCTGGGAAGGAGCTGTATGTATAGAAGGGGTAAGTCAGCACCACACGTAGCCTTGAGCTACAGCTGGAGCCTCAAAGTGAGACGTGATTTAGCAAACAAGTTATTTACCTGCAAACAAGTCACATACAGATACTGCTTTATTAGCTGTGGAGTGGCTTCTGGACAGGTAAGCAAGACACAGACTGGCAATCTGAACATCTAGCAACAGTAAAAGCAGATTCTGGATAAAACTGCCCATTTTGCAGATAATAGCAGCACACAAGAAGTTCTGCAACTAGGAGGCAAGCAAGACCCTACCCTGGCTGCACAAAGGCAATAGTGGGAGGCATCCTGCCAGCTTTCTTCCTTTTCCATGGCAACTGTCAGACCACCTCAGAAGATCCTCAGCCACACACACATCCCCCAGACAACAACAGAGGGGCAGGCAGATCTGTGAACTTACCGCATTAGGCCCTGATAACTTGCTCTGAGAACCATCCAGTCCTTTCTCCATTGGCACGATTGTCTGCTGAAGCAGATGTTTCAGAAAGGGTTGGAATGCTTGGATATTAAAGCTCCACCTGCACTTCGTTCAGCAGAACCACCTGACTGCCCAAATGCCCACAGTGCCCTCTTGAACTTCAGTGGGTTTGCATTTCTGTGCAGGACAGAAGCAGGGTTGTGCCAGCCAAGACTTGTCTTTTGCCACCTCGTGCCACTGCATCCAATTCTGTGGCTCTTTGCAGGTTTGCATGGATGAGAGTTTTTATCCTCTCCTTGCAACCACCCCAAGTCATCTTCATCTTTTGCCTGGCTGCCTTCCAGCTCTTTTTGTTTAACGAGCTCTGCTCTCTGCAGCCCTTTTTTTCCTTCTCCTCACCAGGCTCCACTCCTCCAGTCCGTAGCAGGCAGACAACACACTCCACACCTACATCTCTTTCCATCCTGAGATCTTCAAAGCCACTCTGTGAACTTCTAAGACCCCCAGAAGAGTTGGTGGAAGCCAGCACGCAGCTCCTGCCTGCATTCTTACACCAAGGCCAGGTCTGTGCATTGGAGCAGCTGAGCAGAGAAGCTCCAAGGGGCAAAGCCACAGCAGTATTTAGGATAAATTAACTAAAAGACAACCCTTGAAGTGCAAGCTAACATTTTTTCAAAGGCTTGTAGACACAAGGCAGAGCATTGTCAGCAAACCCCCCTGACAGAGCATCCAAAACACTGCAAGGAGCTGCCTATCACTTCTAACACTGCAGAACAAACAAGCTTCCTTCCCTCTGCTTGCTCTCTGCAGCATCTGGACTCATTTCCTCGCTGGCCCTGCAGCAGAGAACATTTCTGGATCAATTTGGGGTACAATCCTAAGCCACAGAGAAGCAAATATCTCAGATGGGAAGCATTGTGCAACCCTAGAAACAGACACAGTTGCTCAATCGGTTGTAAAAATAGCCATAGAGCTGCACCACTGCTTGCACTGGGGCTCAGCTCCTCCCAGTCCTGTGAGATGGATGAAGGTTTCAGCCAAGAAAAGCTCTGTCACTGCTTGGAGTGCATACAACTTACACAGCATTGCTCAGCTGACAGCCTGCCCCCTTTTTTTTTTTTCCCCATAAAAATCTGAACTTTCTCTATTTGGACAAAGCCTGGGAAAGCTCCAGCTCTCACCAGCGTTAGTCCCACACACTTTACAGCATGGCCTCAGATGGAGGAAATTCAATTTGTATTTTCACGATTAGATAATGTTTGTAATCTCGCATAGCTGAAGAGTCACAGCCCATAAGGTCAACAGCATGTACGGAAAGCAAGGCCCACACACTTGGATCTTATCACAGTTCACAGCAATCGGCCAGTGGGAATCAAACATAATGGAGAATGGTGAACAGGTTGCTCAAATTGATAAAAGCTTGGGAAGGCTTTGTATGCTATGCACACAAAAGAGATATGAAGAGACATTTGTCTGCACAGACACAAGAGATTCGTCCTCCACAACCTTTAAGGGACACACAAGAAACCTGAAGAAAGATTTTGGATCTTCGTGGCACTGAGAGGCCCACCCACAACACGCTTGAACAACACCTCGGTACAGAAACAAAACTTTATTCTGGAGAAGTTGGAGAAAATACTTAAAAAAAAAAAAAAAAAATCAAAAGCAAGGAGTTGTCAATAGGTTCAAACAGCACCTCCAAACAGCAAACAACAAACTGACATTTCCCAGCTCTGATCCAGCACCCACATGCCAACAACAGAGCACAGCAGATGCACCCTCCCTGTTGTAAGAAGACACCCAGATGCCCCCAGAGTTCAGACATCCCCAGCAGGCAGTAAGCATGCAGCCACCACAAACCCTGGAAACAACCCGTGAGCACTGAGAGGAGGAATAAAGCATGAAGAGGAACCATCCATCTCCACCACTAAACCGATGTCTGCACACTGTTGTCTGTGTTCAAGTGAAGAGTGTGAGCCAGGCCTGAGCTCCCCAGCAGAGCTCACACATGAGGACTGGAAGCCACAGCAGGGCAGTCCTATTCAGCAGCAACTAAAGTATCCCTACACCCACATTTGTTCACCCCACAACTCACAACACATTTGCCCTGTCAGACTGAAAAGCCAAACTCCAAACAATTTAAGGTGGAACGAGAGGAGGGAAGAAAACAAGAAAACTGGAGTGAGCCACACAGTATCTTCCAGAGGATCCTGAGCAAAGTCCAAGACTGCAGCAGCAGGGATCTGAACCCACAGGAGTGGAACATCTTCGCTGTACTCGGCTGCTCCAGCAGTGCTTTTCCCCAGGCTTTAGCTCCCCCTGTGGGGCTCGGGGATGATCCCACACCTACACAAAATGAACAACAGTTAAAACCCAGAGTCAGGACAACAGGCTGGAACTCGAGGGGCATCCCCTACACAGCTGAAAACAGGTATGGAGGATCCATTCCTAAAGCACAGCCAGGTACCCCAAGCTCAGCCGCCTTCACAACTAGCTCAGAACAGAACTGCTCTAGCTTTGATAGAAGATCTAAGTCATCTTCATGGGCACCTGATGCAGGGAACACTGCCTCAACCCTTTCCCTGCCTGTGCACTTAGTACCAAAGGGGACCTGCCAGGAGCAGCCATGTATTTCTACAACCCCATCTCCAGCCCCTCCTCACCAAACGTCCCACCACCGTGCTTTGCTGTGATCAGCTTCAGTGGTAAACTAAAGACACCAGGAGGAGCTTCTCTGTTGGCCTTATCTCTTTCCCTGGCTGATGTACAAAAGGGCTTAAATACATTCATGTCTTTACCAAGAGAATGCTAAGTTTTCACTCAGAAAATAAGAGGCTAGCCTACTCCCATGAGCTCACTGTATCATTCACCTGTTCTGCATGTTGTTAACGTAACTAAAATTAAACCAACAAGAGTAGAGTTTGAACAGTTGGGCGTTGGGAGCAGCGGGAGCCTGACAGCTGCCCTCTCTCCCCAGGCAGTTCATGAGCCTGCTGCTCTTTCTGCAAATGTTTGCTATAGAAAATACAAACAATTGTGTTTTTTTTTTTTTTTTTTTTTAATTAAAAATCTGCCTTCTTGTTTTCCTCTAGGTTTTGTGGGCTAGAAGTAACAGAAATAGGAGTACGTGAGAGCATGGCTCACAGAGCTGGGACACCCCTCAACCTTCTCTCCATAAGGCTGGGCAGCCCAGCCCAGCTCACTGCCTACCAAGGCGAGGACATCACACAGCATCCATCTGTGTATCTGAAACCACAAAGAATTGCTGCCAGGTTTCTGTTTCTGCACATTTCCTACATAAGCTTAGAGGAGTCACTGATCCTCTGGCTCCCTGTCACAGTAGAGGGATTGCATTACCACACCTGGGGCACTAAATACATCTCAACTGGATAGTAGAGAAGAGATGCATGCACAGCACGTGAGATCAAGAGCAGTCCCACAGGTGAACCCTTTTTCTCCCTCTGCCAACTACTGTTTCCCAACCCCTTGCGTTGGATCGTGAAGCAGCGCACAGGGAGGTTACCCAGAAAGATGCAATCAGTGTCAAGACACAGGCAGGTGAGGTTCAGGTGCTGGGCAGCAGGGGCTTTGTCTGCTCAGGGTCCGGCACGTCCTCGCTCTCAGCAGGGTCTGGGTGCTGCCGGCTGCTGCTTGAGCTTCGCCAAGGCCAACCCACATCATCATGGTGACAACAGCAAATGGAGGACAGCAGCCGAGCCCGGACCACACGCGTGCAGAGGACAAACATAATACAGTTGGCACCTCCTTGAAACGTGTTTCCAATTCCCTGCAAGGGCAAGAAAGGAATGAAGCAGTGCTATTCCTACTGGCACTTCCAAGAGAAGAGCACATGTCTGGGCAGACCAGCTGCAGTACTGTGAGTCAGCAACTTCCATCTAGAAAGCTGCTTCCTTTCCACCAAGGAAACTACAGCCTTGCATCCAAAAGCAGCACTAACTGCTGCAGGACAGGCACCCAGTGCTGCTGCTCTGCTTCCCTTCTCCTAGCAGCCACACCGCTTGCAGCTACATTCAGTGCCCACTAGATGCTGCTGGAACAGCACTGCTGAGCATCCCAGAGCAGATGCTCCTGCCAGCCATTGCTGCATCCCGGCACAAAACGTGGTAATAAGAGCAACAGGGATTTATTCCCCTCCAAGATTTTGCTTCTAATGAATTGTCTCGACAATACTTACATGTAGGACAACCAGGATTGAATTTTGCACTGCAGGGGAGTTGCAGAGTGTCAGAATGAAGCGCACGGTGCTCCAGATGCGGAGGATGATGAAGATGACAGGGATGAGAATCAACTTCTTGTCTGCTGTGGAAGTCCATGGCTGAAGAGCAGGTGCACTTGAGAGAATGGGACGATACTCTAAGAGAGCTGCATGCTTTTGTGGAGATGGAAGAGAGACAAAACATGAACAAAAAGCTGGAAAGCCCCTTGAGTGCATACTGTATGCCACCCCCATAGCAGCACTTCTGCCATTTCTCAGGTTGTGCCAGAACCACCCTTGTAAAACCCATTAATAGAGCCCAAACCCAGTTCTGGCTGGTGCTGCTATTCCTTAAGAGCACGCACTCCTCATAGGAAAAGGCTTCTCCAGCCCAGAAGGCTCCCTGTGCAGCTGCTCAGACCCTGCTATGATCACTGAAAGTGGCTCTCAGCACTGCTCCCACCAGGGTCAGACGGGGAGCATGAAAGGGAGAGCAGAGCATGTCCCTGGCAGGGCAGGAGGGTGAGCCTTGCTGGTGAGGATCAGCTTTCCAGGCAGTCACACTGCTATCTTCAACAGCTGCTGGAACATTGAGTCCTGTCTGCTTTGTGTCTGCTGGTGGTGACAGGCTCGAGCAAACCTGCCCCAGCTCCCCTGGGAAGGTTCAGGACTGCAGTGGTCTTAGAGCTTGTCAGGGGGATCCTACCCTAACCAGAGCTGTGTTTGTCCATTACTCTCACTGCTATGGTTTCACCACACCAAGAAGGTGTGCACTGGCAACATTTTTCAGTACATCATCTGATTTTGATGGTTTTTTGTTTGGTTAGTTAAGGCCAGGGGCTTGGTGCAAGTGGAACTGTATGGATGACTGATCAGAATTTTGTCCTTCACACAGTTCCAATTCCCACTGCAGGATTCACATTTCATTCCATAACTGCTTAGGTTTTCAAGAGGCTTTTACATTCTTCTGGAGCAAAGTCACTGTGGAACGATGCTACAGGCTGCTGAATCAGCAGAGGATACATTTCAGCAGTGTATGAAGCAATTCCTGTCTGTATAGCTGCTAAAACACAGCAAAATGTTCAGGGCACCTGAGGATACAATCACATAATAAGCCTGTAATCTGAGCTGCAAGCAGCAAAGCACTCACCGCCCTATTGATGTGCCTTTTGATGAGGATATAGAGCACAGGCAAAGTCACATAGGCCAGTATCTCCCAAACTTTCCCCGTCAGCAGCATCCACAGCACTCGATCCTCTGCATCCAAGTTGACCCAACACCAGCCCACAGAAACATTGGAGGCATCGTAGCCAATCTTCTTCAGAGCCACAGCTGCAATTGTAATGGCAAGGGGGACTCCCCAGCTGTGGAAAGAACAAGCAGCAGGGTCATACCAAGGACTCAGTGCAGTCCCCATGCAGCTTAGGAGAAACAGAGCATCAGGCCTAAGGGTAGTGAGAGCAACAAGCAAGTATCTGACAGCACATTCATGAGGAATGCAAGCCCATGCAGTCCCGTTTCAAATTCACTCTAGGAACCTGGGTTCTCATCCCAGAGGACACACAAAGGAAAGAAACATAATGATGTTCCATAATGAGGACCAGAACTAGAACCTGGCCTGTTGCAGCAAGCAGTCAGGGTGCAGCAAGACAGGAGACATCCCATCCACTCCTCCCATCCCCTTCTGGGGTGGCTCAAGATGCAGCAATCTGTACGTGATCATCCTGCAGGACCCAGCAGTGCAGGAGCAAGTTGGCCCATTCACAGCTCTCAAAACACAAGCAGTCAAATCCTACATTGGTTCATAAGTGATGCTTGGCACAGGTGACAAAGAAATCTACCATTTTATTCCATTATTTCTGCAATATTTCTTTTGTTACTGTTGGTGATGGTAGTGGTGTATTGATTTTTTTGTTGGCTTTAAAGGGGGTGTAGTCGATACTTTGAGAGCAAAATAATAGTTTGTGAAGGACAAAGGGAGAATTGCACAGGGAAAGCACTGGTGGTAACAGGATTTGAATTAAGCCAAGAGGAGCTAGTTTCACATTAACTGGAGCTGTGTTTTGACTTCAGCTTCTTTCCTGACAGCAGATGATGGTATAGGGAAGCAGTTAGCAGAACAGTAACTGTGCTACACGCATGGTTAATTCACTCAGCATCTCAGGCTGCCCACAAAGAAGCCATAAGCAAACACCAAAAGATTCCCCAAAGCCAAATGTAAAACACCCAAGCCCTTTTCCAGCTGCTGTAAATACCCAGGACTTTACAGTCCTGCCCTGGCCCATTACAGCTCACATCACTTCGTGGCTGTAACACTGGCCTGCTCTCAGCTGAGCACACCTCCTGCCCTTCCAATATTCACCCTCCAAAAAGCTTCTGCAGAGGCTTACAAGGCAGTTTATCAATGGGTGACAGATGCTTCGGAGAGCATAGACTGAGCTTCCAGCATGATCCTCCCAGTCTCTCCAGATGCATGAAGGAAAAAAGAAATGTATTAAGAAACTAATTTGCTTAAATAATTGTCTTTACAGTGACCTGAAACTGAAAGAGAATGATACAGGAAGATAAAACTGGGTCAAATTATTAGGTATAAACGTAAAAGAGAGCAGTGTGAGGACATATAGACACATTAAGAGGCTACAGCATGGAACAGCAGACAGCCAGTGAGGGTCTGAAAAAAAAAACAAACACTAGAAATCAAGTATCCAACCAGTATAAGGAAAAATGGAGAACTGCCATACATCAGGAACGTGATTTGTGTGCTTCCATTATCACTGCAGCAGCATACTGGGATCAGAAGGCTATCACAAGTACCAAGGATGACAAACTGAAAGGGAAGTTAGAAGGACTCTAGAGAAAAATCAGTCATTTCAAGGAACTTCTTTATCTCCAGCTTATTTGGAAATGACTTAAAGTAGAAAGGAGAACAGACTCATGCTTAGGTTTTTCTTAAGAACCCCTAGAGAACAGCTTACCAATACTGGAAAATACCAGTGCTTCACATTGATCTGAATCAGATCTGTATACAATATACACACCCAAAATATGCTTGAAGATTGGAATTGAAAGGATCCAAGATAGCACAAAGAGGCAAAAACTCTGCTTGGAGCCTCTAAGGGTAATTATGTAAGCTGGACCTTGGATCTAAATGCCATCAGTGTGGGAGATAAAAGGGAAAACAGGCTGCAACTCCATCCCCAAGGCAGACACAACAGCACCTATTTCCCTCATGCAGCACCCCACATCTATTAATATGAACACACACAATCCAGCATCTCGTTCCAGATTAACAAGTACTGCATTCATGCAAGTTAAGACAAGAACCCTTACATCGCAGCTGCTCACAGCTTAAACCCTGCTGGTTTTCTTGTCCTCAGCATGCCTGGGGTCAGATTGCTTAACACCACATTTTGATTTACTCTGGACAGGTGCTTTTTTTTTTTTTTTTTTCTGTCTCTCCCCCACCATTGGCTCTTGCAAGCAGGACAGATTTGCTGCTGTCAGGCAGCACAGGTCAGATCCTACAGCAACATGCAGCACTTCCAGCAGGGGAGCGGAGTTTTTGTTCTCCGAGAGAGAAAAGTCAGCTTCCAAAGATCCAAGCCCAGCTCAGGAGGTTCAGGCACACACTGTAAACACAACTGCAGACCAGATTTGCTCCAATTTCTGCATTTTTCCAACCCAAACATTAACTGGGTACTAAAGTACCACCTGCTGAGACCAAGCAGGCTCTTTTGAGAGATGTTAGAAGCCGACAGCAGTCACCAGGCAGCCTCCCTTCGGCTGGCTTTAGCACTGAGCTACAGCTTTTATAAACTAAAAGAACCACCAAGAGATCTGTGCACCTGAGGCAAGGCACAGGGGCAGAAACAGCCCTCTGAGGTCTCAGACCCAAAAAGAGTCCTACGTACTCTCTCAATGCTTATAAACACCTGCAGAGCCCTATCACAAAGCATAAACACTTCAGAGGTCAACAGCAATTGCTATCAGAGACAAAGCCAGCAGCAGTCCCAAGGTGTGATCTGCTCAGTTTGGATCAGGTGCTCTCACAGCAGAGAAACCATTACCCAACCAAGTGATGCTTTGAGATTCAGAAACCCAGAAGAAATGAGGCTGCCTGGAAACTCACCCTCTGGATCCCACAGTTTGCACCTTACAAGCACTATGAATATTTTCAAAGCAAACTGCAAACTTGTTTTCAAAGCTCATCTGAGCTTAACACAAAATTAAAACCAAAGTGAAGCCTGCAGTTGCCCTGTGTGGCTCCAGGAGAGGTGAAAGCATTACCATGACTCGACTCAGCAAGGAACAAACCTGTTGATCAGGTTTCATCCTAGCAACGTGCTCATTTCCCTAAAAAAATTCCAGGTATTGACTTCCAGCAGATATTTAGCTGGCTCTGCCCAGCTCTAAGAGCAAAGTGTTTGGTTATGCTCAGTGTTTGACACACACTCATTGCTACAAACGCCCCAGTGAGGGACTGCTGGTGAGGACTGAGAAGCTGACGTCCAACAGAATCCTGTCCTGCCTCCCATCCCTTCCAGGCGTGTGTCTCAGCACAGCTCTTCACACAATGGTTGCTGTATGACTGCATTGGCAACCTGCAAAGCGAGCTGCAGCAGCTCCTGGCTGTGCAACACAAGAAGATTTTCCAGCCGTAACCACAGAATCCTCCTGGCTGCATTCTGAAGCACTGGAACGTGTGGGGGCAGCCGCCATCACACACCATGCCCAGATTTTGTGTTTATGGCCAAGTTCTCAGGTTGTGATGGAAATGCAGGGAAGGGGAAGGAGGATGTGTCAGGAGGTGATGGGAAGAGGACAAGCCTGTGATGGTTTTCTCTGCTTTTCATACATCATAAGGCAGGAAGATGCTCCAAACATGAGCTCTGTGCAGAATGTGAGTTATTAATAAAGCAAAACCTGGTAATAAGGGCTTACATGAAAGCTATGGATGCTGCCTTTTGAACGGAGCAAGCAGAGCTGAATAATACCTTCAGCTGAAGGTGGTATTTTATTTTATTTTTACCATGAAGAACTGAAAGCAAACCTGGAAACTCACCAAGAAGCACAAGGATGCTGAGCGACATTAAACCAGAGGGAGAAGTTTAAGCACCAACTAAGTTCATACAGCGGGTGATGAGCGGACAAGAAAATTAGATGTCACCATGCAGGCACCCTGGGCTTCCCCACATGCAGACCTCACCATCAAGCAGTGATTACGACAGGCAGGGCAGGATTCAACCTTTCCTCCCAGCTTCCCACCTCGCCTTGCTGTCTTGCACTGGCCCACCTTTACCAGGACTCAACTCTAATCCCACCAGCTCCCAAGTAATGTGGTTGAAAACAAAAGCTGACATCCATTGAGAAGCAGACTGAAGAAAATGCACTGCTTTCCTTAATCTGATGCTTTTTTTCTTTTCCTTTAAACCCAATCATTCCTCGCACAACGTAGTGCAAAAGCCTGGCAGCACAGAGCACTGAAGGATCACTGTTTTGCTCAGTGCAGAGGTAGCACATGATTACCCAAGCTTAAATTGCATAATGAAGGCTTTTACTAAACACCATGTGGAAAATCAGCTCTCTGAACAGCAGAAACCAAGACACCAAGCTCCACTGTGGGCTGCTTTGTGTGCTTTCAACCAAATGTGCCAAAACAACCTTCCATGCTCTCCTTGCAGCATGCTGCTCGTGGACGATGCTCTCAGTAGTGCTGGGTCACAGCAATCGCCCAGGGATGGGGAGACAGACAGACAGACAGACCAGCCACGAGGAAAATTTGGGAAATGGAGTTCAAGCAGAGCTGGGATTGCAAATAAGTTTGGGGTGTGATTGCTGGGATGAGAGAGCAGGCAGCGGAGGGGAAGAAGCCAGGATTTTGAGTCGCTGTCACACTTTTGTGTGACTTTAAGCCAACTATCTGAATGTCTCCACGTCTTCCCTTGGATGTGGCAGCGGGGAACGAGTGGGGTGGGTTAGTCGGGAAGCAGCAAACCCCATATTCCAAAGGAAGTCAAGGAAGGCACCATATCCCTAAAGAGTGAGCAGGGGCCCGCAGGACCCACAGCACCCACCTCACGATGTGGAAGCAGTAGAGCAAGCCCGCGCCCGTGGGCGAGCCCCTCACAATGGTGACATAGAGGTAGAGGGCAACGGCCATGGTCCAGAAGAAGGAGCTGGTGTTGGAGAAGGTGGACAGGGCGCCCTGCAGCACGCAGTCCCACGACGTCCTGTCGAAGTCCTGCAGCACCCCGTAGAAATAAGAGAGGGCGGAGAGGAGGTCGGCCAAGGAGAGGTAGAGCAGGAGCTCCCGGGGACGGGTCCGCAGCTCCGGCCACAGAGCGTGGGTGCCCACCAGGAGCCCGGAGCCCAGCGATGACAGCACGCACGAGGTCAGCACCGCCGCCCGCTCCGCCGCGTACAGCTGCGTGGGGGGCAGCGGCTGGGGCATGCCGGGCTGCGGAGCCGGGCGGCGGGCAGTGCGGGGACGGAGGAGGGAGGAGGGCAGCGGGGAGGGAGGGAGGAGGGCAGCGGGGAGGGCCGGGAGCGGAGGAGCGGCCGCCCCGCCCCCGGGAAGCCGGCAGCCGGCTCGTTTCTTCGCATACAAAGCCCACGGGAGCGCCTGCTGCACGGCACGACGGGCGGTTCTGCGATACGCCCACCGCAACAAACCATCGCCTCAAAGCGATTCCCTCGATTTCAGCTTGGGTTCCAGCGGGGATCGCTACTGCTCTGTGCCTCGCTCCCTTAATCCTTTTCCGGAGAGCAGCAGAGCATCCCAGCGCTCATTTTAACGCGGCTTATTCTGACCCATAGAACCTGATGTCTCACCTCCCCCCCCCAGCTTCTCTCAGCAACCAGAACCCATCCACCAGGTACATCCATCTCTGACAGAAAGATCTTCAAAAACAAGTCCAGCATTTGCATATTGCTTTCTGCCACAGTGCACTTTCAGTTTTACATCCCCATCTTCCAAACTTAGAAGGGGCTCCACAACGTTTTATTTCTTGTATTTTGACCAGTTCTGCATTAACAACTTTACATCCAAGTTTTTCAGGGTAACTTGTACTGAACTGCTTTCTTTTTTTAATGATGATTATTTTTTGCACTATTGGCATTTTAATGCAAGCCATCTCACAGTTCCTTTTCCTGCATTCCAAACCCATTGCTTCTGCTCCAGATCCACATCCAAGGAAAAGCTGCACCAGCACTTCCCTGCAAGTTAGGAGAAGGCCAAACTCTGCTCCACACAGGCTTGATGTGCCTCTAATTGCCTCAATGCACCAGCCAGGTGCTTTCCTTCTTCCTGAAGATCCCCCTGCATACATCTTTCACCTTTAGCACTCAGCTATCAAACAGGCTCCCACATTTAGAAGAAATGTATTTTGGAGCCTGACGCCCTCTGCATGATCTCCATAGGAAAAGGAACTTGCAGCAATGCAGACTCACTTTTCCCCTGAGCACAGTCTGACACCAAAGCTCTCACTAAATGCTATTCCAGACTTTCTTTAGCTACCATCTGACTCTAAAAGAAAAACCACACATGACAAAGTTCTGTCAGTGCTGCATTCCCAGTGGTTGCTCTTACATTATTATTTTTTTTTTTGGCTTCCTCCTTTTTTTGGTTTTCCTTCCTCCACTTTTACAGCACCAAAGAAACAAGGCACTCCTATAGCAAACATCCAGATAGATCACTCCATCTCCAGCCCCTGCTTCTGAGCACTGGGTTTTTGGGGGGATGGATGTAGCTCTACAGTACAGCCTCATTCAGAAGTCCTGCAAGATAATTCATTCCCACAACTCTTAAACTTTTAAAATCACATAGAAGGGAATATCTGACATTTAAATTGGAATCTGACAATTAAATTGGAAACGCAAATTCTGATTTTGTCCAGTTTTACTGAGAGATGCATTTTGCCCTCAGCAATCAGAAATCCACAGCACAGGCACAGGACCTTTTGCTGCATCTCTTCTGATTGGAGAGGAATACAGTTAATCTGTGCACTCAAGACATCACTCAGTAGCAGGGCGTGCAGATTTAGTGCTTCAAAACTGAGTAATAGAAGGCAGATCATTTCTTAAAGATTTCTGACATCTGCACATGCATGACTCAGAGCTTTCAATCATCACCTAGGGGCTGAGATCACAGCACTGTGCATCTCCCCTAGCTTGGTGCCAGTTCGACACTATGGGAAAAGTACCTGAGCAGAAATCCTGGGTTCTTTCCAGCTCCTCTGACACAGCTGTACATCAACTCTGCGCTCACCAAGGGCTGAGAAAACACGATTGCTCTGAACACTTCGAACACCGCATCACAGCTTCGGAGAACACACGTGCAAGGAGGAGACTTAGCATCGCTTACAGCTGCACAGCTCCCAGCCCCATCCCTCTGCCCACCAGGGGTCACTGCCGCTCCAGGCTGCCAAATCCCGCATCAACAGCCGCCCCAGCAGAGCTGGCAGCAAGGCAGAGCCCAGGATTTCACTACATGGAAAACACTCAGTGCTGCTCAAGAAACTTCAGAATGACCAGAGATGGTGATCAGAGCCTTCAGAGCTTCTCAGCAGCCGCCCCTCCCAGAGCACAGCTTTAAAAGACTCAAGTAAAAAGTCTGCAGAACTCCAAGATGAAGGAGTTGTTGTTTTCCCCGTGCATCTATTTAGAACACTTACCAACCAGGCACAGCCAAACAGGTGCAGACATTGCAGCCAGCTCTCATGCAGCTCTTCTGGGGAGATGAAAAAGCAGCTTGCAGAGATTTGAAGGGTTTTACTTGGCAAATAGTGGGATCAAACAGCTCTGCATTCACACGTGTAAGGTCATGCTGGAAGCTGGGCACAGTGGGAGGCTGTTACACACAGAACAGTTCTGTTGGAACCAAGGTTGCAATACGTGTAGAAGTGCACAGAACACAGCAGTGAGGAGCTGCACAGCCACGTGTGCTGTGTGCCCTGACTCCCTGTGCAGGAAGGCAGTTTTTGTGGAGGGCCCTGCACAGGTGACCCTTATGGAAGGAATAATCTTAACAGAGCTACAGGAGAGCTCTGCCCCCAAATGGCAGCTCTAGCATGTTCCTTTGAATTAATTAAAGGAGTTCTGGAATTAACAAACGCTATGTGAATGCCCATTTTATCCCAGTTATGCAAGACTGACCTCCTCTTCCAGGTTAACACCATCATTTTCCTGCATCCCACCCCTCTGGTGATCAACAAATGTGGTATGTGAAGTCATGGTGCTCCATCTCCTCTGCAACAGAGCAGGGTGCACACAGCTACCATACCTCAGTGCTGCCCAGCTCTGTGCTGGCTCTGCCCAGCAACCCAAGGGCTTCCCTTTCATCAGGGAGAGATGCTTAGTCATTGTAAGCAGCTTTCCATTAGCACTGAAAATGTGAAGTCAGGCTGCAGAGACTACAGAAAAATTCAAGCCAGCAACTGACAAAAAAAAAAAGCCACCGCAGCAAGGACAGTTTGATGTGGGCAGAATGTAATTAGCTCCACTGCTGGAATGCAGCCAGCACAATCCATGAATTAAGGATGGCCCCAGTGTTGTGACAGTTTTTCATTTCAAATTTAAATTAGGAGATTAATATGGGATGTTCCTGCTTGCTGTGGTTGAACAAAAATAAAGGCACTCACAGCCTAACAGTACGTCAAACAAAAATACCACTTTTAAGATGTAGGAGTTGTTGTCCATGTGTTTTTCTTAGAAGACAACAATAGCAACAAGAAAATAGGCCAAACACTTGTATTCTGGGGGGTGCAACCTTTACCATAAATTGAAATCACACGACAGAAAGCTCTGCTTAGAGCCTGTGGTTTTAACACAGCTGAGACAAGGATACAAGAGCTAATAAGAAGTCCCCTCAAGTGGAAGTCACGAGGTTTGCCAGCTTCTCTGGTCCCTGTGCCAGAAGCCTTATTCAAATCTTCACACAAGTCATCTGAAGTGCAAAGCAGCAAAGAGAGAATTCTGCTGAGGGGAAATGGTGTAAAACAGAGCTCAGGAGATTGGTTCTTTCATTCACATGAGACCACTCAACCACTACAGTTCAGGGTCACCTTCAGATTCTGGAAACATGCAGTAAAGCACCACATTGTACTCCTCACCCTCCTTCAGTGAGCCAAGCAAAACGTGTGCATTTAAACCATGTGCAGATGCTGACTGCTCAGGTCTCACACTTGTGGGCAGCTATTACCATGTGTCTAACAAGGGAATCAGCCACATCACATCAATGACTCTGTTTGCATCATGGGTTCCTTCCCAAGGTAGCAAAGAGCACATGGAATATAATTTGCAATGACACCCACACTGTCAGACACACACTACTATCCATCCTGGTTTGAATGCTTCCACACCAAAGTTAAGGTTGAAAGTATTGTTATATACTGGAATTCAAACCTACTAACTTTAGTAACACAAAGCTGCTCAGGAATTACAGAGTAAGTGAGACAGGTTGAGCCCCAAACGTTTGACCATCGCCCCAACCACATTCCAGTCATTGTATCATATGGAGTAGCACTGTTTTGGCCAAGAGCATATAAAAGGCACTTACAGAGAATACAGAGAGGCACTCTGCAGTGCAGTGATTTTTTAAAGCCAGTCATTACCTATAATGCAGTAAAGTTAAAAAGCAGAACCACATCCTGCTTCTCCCCAGAAAGCGTAGGACTGACTGCTATCTTTGCTCTATGAAGAATAAACCTAAAGCTAAAAAGCCATCAAAAGTAATAGCTGGTCAGGAAAGCTGGTGTACTGGCTCAAAACATTTGCCTCATGACAAACACCCTGGTAGAGATGAAGTTTCAGAAGAGTTGCAACAGAAGGATACTCTGCTCCCTTCTGGCCACCCATCTTCTAAGTGCAGAACTTTTATAGACAGTTCGTAAAGTTGCACAACTCCCTGTAATTGGTGCAATTATGTTCATGTCTGGAAAAAAAAGAAGGCATACAGAAGTGTAGGCAACCAAAGTCATAGCTTGTGTTTTAAAAAAGGCTTAAGGTTTGACATCCCTGGATTATGACACCCAGCCAAGTCAGCAGGAACCACAGAATATCAAACAAAGCCAATCTCTCTGCATCAGAATTAATGAAAACTCTCTTTCTGTGCACAAGTACTGTAAGTTTCAACTAGATTTTGGCAAGGACTTGCCTTCTTCTGAGCTTCTGGAGCTCCACCCCCCACCCTCCCCAACACACACACAATAACTTCTATCATCTTAGATTTGTCTTCTCCAGAAATCTCCCTAGTCTCACTCCTACCTAGACAAGGTAAGGAGAAATGGCTGATTGCATCACTAAAACTTAGTTCCTCTCCAGAAAGATCAGCTAAGTTCTTGGGTGCCTGACCACTGACTGCATATACTTGCCATACATACCTGCTGACCAGCAGCCAACAGAAATAATGACTACAGGTGAGTTGTTTCCATAGCAGGCTCAAAGACAACTTGACATTACCAGCCTGAGCCTGAAGCTAAGATGAATTCTCCCTAAAAGCAGG